ACAGCGCGTGGCAGAGCACGCGGCTTTGGGAAGATTGTAAAAAAGGGCGCGTTTCAGGCAGAAATGGCGCACTGAGAGTTTATAACTGGGAGGCTCCAGTACATCAACGTCAAGAATTCTGACACTCATCAAGTGTCTCTATTCATTAGCTCGGGTGAGATGTATCTAATGAGGTGATCCTCTCTCGCTCAGACTTTTTCCGAACCATCGCGCGCCTATCAGAATGACAAGACAAATAGAGCAAAGATCGATAGCCAGAAAGTACATCGTGTTCGCGTTGCTGAGTAACTAACCAAAGACCTGAACAGGTTCAACAAATTAGGGCCGAAGTCAGCTCTGCGCGCAGAAAAGCCGGTTTGCAACTGAATACGACGAAGGCTGTGCTGATAAACATAAGAAATCGATACAATGAACGACTAAGTTTCGGAGCTGGGCAGTAGGGAGAAGGCGCCTTGGGCAGCATTCATGAATATCGACGAGAACGGAGAATACCCGATTCCGCGCCATACTCATCGGGCTTGCGGTTTTTTTCCTGCACGAGGTGCGCCCTAAAGACGTGGACTCTGAGCAAATAAGATGTAAATGCTGCACGCGTTAACCACGGCGCCATAGAAAACTCGGGATTCCCCCACAAAAAAACCAGGGTCTTCCATTCAATGGACGATCAAAAATCAAGGACATCGCCGTGGTAATTAGGGCCTGAGAATGAGCGTTATCAGTACAGCGACTCAAGCGATTTATGGCCTTTGGGAGGCATTCCACGTCCATCAATCGAGCCGATTCACTTGAGCCATTGCGCCTTCCTCATTGGTGAAACCTTCCCTTTGCCAATCTAGGGGGAGATGAAGGCCACCACGGGAACATGCAGCACTTCAAGGAACTCTGCCCGCACGATCAAGCTGGAAAATGCCTCCAAACTACAATTAAAATTCTCCGTTTAACATCATGGGCCTGCCGTTTTATTCAATGACGAAAACGAGAGGCACCGACAGCTCCCGCGATAGAAGTGTCGGGAATAGTTGCTGTTCAATTATGAAACAGTAGCTGATAAGTAATTCCTCAACGAAGGAAAAAACCAAGAACAGCCCTCAAGAACAATATAAACAAAATCACTCCTTGACAATCACACCGCCCTGCGGTCCCTGTGCAACCCCTGGCTCACAAATCGCTTTATCATATATCCCAGTAGTGGATATCATCCAATGCAAAGAAAAAAATACGAAAAACAACAAAAACACGCACAAAAAACACATTAAAAAAGAAAAATTTAAAAACTTGGCGTCCGAACTAGGGTTACGTGCAGTGTGCAGCTTTTGGTGCATGTCGAGCTTTTGCACCACAGAAATTGCATCATTCGTGATTTTTACGCGTTTTACCTTGCGAGATGGGTTGCAGTTGACTGTGTGCTCCCAATGAATAAAATGTAATAAAGGAGAGCAGAATTATTTATGGGCGCGGTCAGCAAAAAGTACATGCAATTCCGATTAATGCCCGCCGCCCCAACAAAGAACAACTGAGCGGCCTCCGTCGGAGGGCATCTAGCAAGTAAGGCGGTCCAACTGAGCAGGCGTTAGAACTAGAACTTACAGCGGCTGTAGCTCGCTCCTCGCTCGCTGTGGAGACGAATAGAGTGGGACAGTCTCTAGCTTGGGGGCTGTACTACTTGCACAAGGAAGGACGACCATGTACTACTCGAGCGCGGGGGCTGTCTTTAAGGAAATTCTGCTATAAAGAAAGGTAGATGAGAGGAGTCTCAGCATATGCCCCTTCATGGGTGCGCCCCTCTCTAGAGCAATAAAAAGGCGAGAGCAGCAAAGAATAAAGCACATTGTATGCTAATCTCCGCCTACTCGATTGTCGTGGAATGTGTCTTCAAACAAAGGGAAAAGGCGAGAAAAAATGGGGAACTCGTACTTGGCGGAAAGATCTATTTCTAAGTCACAGTGTTTACAGATTGCAGGGCTAAGAACTGTTAGATCATATGCGGGATATTAATGAGCAAGAAAGCAAATCAAGCAAGCCCCAAATAAGGACCCTGCGGACTAGCAGAGGCAAGCAACGATGGTTGAGCGCTCACTCCTTCTGAAGGGTTCAAAGAGACTGAGTGTAGAAAACAGGACTTGAGAATGAAGCCAATCAAGACCCCACCGCTACACAGTGTTAAAACGACAAAGGCGGATCAAGCTCACGAAGGCGGAGCTAGGTTATTGTCCCGATGCCTTGCGCTTTTATCACGCACTTTCGAGTCGTGAAACAGGGGCATATTCACGACTGCGGACAGCGGCACCTTAAGCTTCTAAGATCTGCACGTCGGATAATCGTGGACGGGTATTTGACAACACAGTCCCAATCTGCCGCGCTGGTGGACATCGCGTACGACATCCCGCTCGCAAATGACGATGTTCCTGCGTAGCAGATGGCGAAAATCACCAGAATAGCCATAAATGTCTACGATGTCGTAGTCTACATGAAATTCGGTGCTCCAGTCGCCACGCTAAGGGAACGCCCATCGTCGGGCGCGACGGAGCGACCAGTTACAATTGCCTTGGCAGTCCAACATTGTGGACGCTGCCTTCCAGTGAGAAAGATAGCGACGGCGATCAAATCTACCGCCACACTAACAATTTCGCCCATCACCCCCTAACAAATAATAATTCATCATCACAGAAATCCCTGCGCATCCATAGGCGGGCGCAGGTATAGCCACAGGTACTTATCAAGAGTCAGGAAATGATATGTCAGGGTATGTGACAAGAGATAATTCGCCGCGATGGTGGGCGTCGCGTGCGACGTCGCGCCCGCAAATGACGATGGTTCCAGGTAGTAGATGGCGACAACAGGCAATTCAGAACCGAAAATAGTCATGAATGTCTACGATGACGGGGTCGAAGTCCGGTGCTCCAATCGACAGGTTAACACGAGTTAAGAAAACGCCGCGCGCGGCGGAGCGGCAAATTACGATTCTCTTGCCCGTCCCCGATTACTCATTTCACAAACCAATATGGCGTGTCACGTAACACTTTATTGTCACATTGTTTGACGTTCCAAGACCTGCCTTTTTTGTGATGAGTGACCCAATAACTCGTCATTTACCATGTGACAGGTATCCTACTGTACCACGTACCTATGCTCCATCAGCCTCTCCAGGTATTATGAAAATCGCTTACAAGGCAAGAAAAAAAACTGGGAAACCTGGAAAACAGGCAAACTTGTCAGTGAGCCGATGAAAACGATAATCACACCAGATTGTTCGGCGAATCAACAACCGTGGACGTTTTCCAGGTTTCGGCCGCAGCGATCAACGCATTTTCGGACATAATAGGGTACACTATTGTGAAGTCATTCCCAATGCAGAATTCAAATAATGTTCCGGTTTAAGGATGTTTCAAAAAAACTTGAAAACAAGTTTGGAGAAATTGATTAACTATTGATGAGAAATCATTTGACGGGGAACAACAAACTCTACAGAAAATCAAATGACCGTTGCCAAAGAGGAAGCATCTCTGACAACGACTAGATACACTCCTTATTGTGGAGATGGAGTGGATGTGGCTGTCTACTACATTCAAACATGGCGTAAAATGTTTTCTCGTTGAATATTTCTATTCGAGTCGTCTTATCTTGTGCTCAACAAACAGATGATTACAATTGTACCGAGCGAAAATGTTCCACCAGAGATGCAGCCGACACCGCGCATACACGACGAGCGTATCCATACCCACCTCATCTCCGGTAATTCGAGTGGTAGATACGTTATTCATAAGGATTCTGTCGAAACATTGGGCCTCAAAATCAAAAACCTTTTTGCTGAAACTTCGCCCATGGTAGTGATTCTTGCCTTGATCACAGAAAGACATTCATTTTCAATGCTATTTGGCGCCAATAAGCGCCAATTTGGTGCCACCACCTGTTAACCCCCGTAGACAAGTTCTGATCAGTTTAAGTGATGGCGCCAATTCGGCGTCAACTGATGCCGCGCTAGAAATGAATGTCATCTTCGTGACCAGAACACCAAATATCAGTAAGCAGAGTTTCAGCGAGAATTTAGCTTGAATATCACAGGACCGGCTTTCGATTAATCTCGGCATCAGAGACGTAATAATTCAGTATGATTTCCTTAGCCTCCCGAGATTTGTACAGATGTTTATTGTGCTAACGTTTCGGCGAACATCGCCTTCTTCGGAGCCTGCAAGTCGAAACCTATCATTGAAACAAGTCACCCAATCACCATTTCATACAGTAAGAAAACACGGACTAAGAGATCCTAGAACTAAGTCGTAAAGCCACCAACCTTTTGAGAGATAGGACTTCTACCGGGCACTCTGAGTCTTAAGACTGCATGAAGGTTTTTATATGTTCTTGAAACTCCGAGGGGAACAGCAAAGGACCTCCGCACTTCAAATGGGTCCCTTGAAATGGTCTAATTACAGCGGTGGCCCGTAATTTGCTGTTCCCCTCGAGCCCTCTGACCCGTTACCTCGGAGTTTCAGAACATATAAAAACCCTCATGCAGTCTTAAGACTCAGAGTGCCCGGTAGAAGTCCTATCTGTCAAAAGGTTGGTGGCTTTACGACTTAGTTCTAGGATCTCTTAGCGCCGTGTTTTTCTTACTGTAGTTTGAAATGGTGATTGGGTGACTTGTTTCAATGATAGGTTTCGACCCCCCAAGGCGATGTTCGCCGAAACGTTAGCACAATAAACATCTGTACAAATCTCGGGAGGTTAAGGAATCATACTGAATTAGCTTGAGTTTTTGGAGTCGTAATAGTGGAATAGCGCAAAAGATCCAGATTGGTTGACCGCAACCTACACTATCACCGAAAACTCGGCTGTACTTCGGACCGTACAAGTTGCGATAACATAATAAAATAACGAGAAAAATAACAAGCACTGGACACACTCACCTTTGGCCTCTACTTATCTTTACATTTTGCGACAATTTAGCGAAAAAAAAACTGACTACAGTGTGTTGTATTCAGAGAGATGAGTTGCTGTTTATCTCAGGCTAAAAGATTTCGCGGCAGCTTACAGCAAACTACATCTGCAACGCGGAATTGTCTCAAAAACTGAAACGCAAGTGAAAAAACAGTAGGGCAAAAGCTTCACGGGGAGAACATAAAATACAAGACGAGCCAACCCCCTACAGAACCAGAAGAGCTTATGGTGCGTCAAGAGCGTGTATCGATTTCTGACTTGCCATGCAGATAAAAAACTGATCACATCAACTCCATGGTCGAGTGACTTCATTGGTCCAAATAAAACCCTGGCAACTAATGAGCACAAAAGTGAAGTGAACGTACCGTCTGCTTGCTCTCGGGTAATGACATGTAGGGCAGGATGGACTTCCAGTAAATCAAACACTTGTTCGAAACTAGTAATGAGCTGAGGAGTATTAAGTGCAGTTGAGAGTAGCAACTAAAATTAGGGAGGATTGACAAGATAAAGCTCAACTAAAAGTGCTAAAGCAGGTAGCATTCTACGTTCTCTGAGGCTTCCACAGATTCCAAGGAGGCGCTACAAACTTCGTCTCATTTCAAAATCAAAAAGGCAGTTGAAAGGTGACTTGACTCATGCGTTGACCTGTAGGGCCAGGTGACGTTCAGCTCCGTGTTCTTCCCATTCTAGCCGAGGTATAGCATTGTTGGGGAATCTCATTAGGGGAAAGCGTATTTAGGCGCCAGGGAGAGGTGCAGCAGTTGCCTTCGAGGAAGAATTTCTGAGCAGCGGGAAGTTTCTTTGCTGCTGCAGACTTTTCTCGGTTATTTGCTGTTTCTTGTTCGCTGTGTAGCCCCTCCCTTTTATGCCTTCACCTCAGAGCCGCCATACAACTACTATTTCTGATACTTGATTTTGAAAGTTGATTAGTGACGATCGGCGTCTGTAAGAAAAGTTGGAAATTTTCTTGGAGAATTGGGAAAAAGGTGGTAGGAGGTTAAAGCGAGGATGTTGGTCGGTAAGACAGCGAGAGGGGGGGGGGAGTGGTGCATCGAGCAACATGAGGAAATTAGGGGAGGGAGGAGGAGGAGGGGGATCGTCACCCCGTGAATCACGAAGCTGTATCCTGTTCCAGGGTTTCTAAAGAATCATGAAGAGACAATGGGTTAATCTACCTTGAGCAGAAGTCGATTCGGGATCTCACTTCGGACCGTAACCTTGACAACTGCGCCACATTCTAGTGCAGCATCTCCCGACCCCCCCCCCCTTCCCACGCCCCACCAGAAACTGACAAGAAGGTAACTAACCTTGTGCACAATAGTAGCGGTCAATATAGGCGATTCAGTACAATGGATCACAACTCTTCGTTCAGGTACTGTTCGCCAAATCTGTAAACACGCTTACTGCGATCCATTTGCACTCAGAAAGGTTTCAGCAGTGAAGAGCTCGAACTAGCAGGATACACAATCTTATTCGCTGAGGAGGATGGAGGTGTCGGGAGTGATTGGTATGGTGCGGCGCTAAATCCGTTTTTCAGCGATTCAGCGACAACAGCTGGTGGAAAACGACGGGTACGATGCAGTCTTGATGTTTCCTCGCTCGAACAGCTGGTGGGAAACGGATATGGCGCCGCGCCAAACCTACCCCTCCTGACACGCCCCATCATCTGCAGCGGACAAGGCTGCACGAACAAAACCACATTTCCTGGTTTTGCTGATACGTTCAATTTACTTCCAATCCTTATATTGAGCCTTCTTGACGACCGCGCTCAGCCAATTCGTAGGACACTATTCTTGTCAAAGTAGCCCGGTGCATACCGTGGGATATACCGTATATGACTGCAATTTAGGATGTCTTGTCACTCACTTGTGGGCCGCGGCAGTAGGACAGTCTCTGATCCGCACCTCGGACTCTTGACAGAAAGAACCCTACGAACTGGCTGATGAGCGTGGGCCTGTGTTTGGGAAAGTAGCACAAGGAAACCCACATTAACAGCTTTTCTCAGCACTTTTTTATCGAGATCACATCGAGCTGGCGGAACAATCAGCAGAACGTCAGTTTTCTTCTGTTTTACGATCGAGCGCACATCGTGGACACGCTCTATGCCGGTTACGATTTCCACAGGAATCGCAGTTTCCCAGCCATCATCTACAATTGTGATAGATCGGAAACTGTGAAAGAGGACCCTAGAAGTTCAAGGCACCAAGTGGGAGAGTACAGAATAAAACTTCAACAGTGAGAGTTGGCCTGCTTCCTATTCAGCGGAAAAGAACAGTTAACAAGATCAATGAACAAGAGCGGAGTAACGCTTTGTTCCCTGCTGTTGCTTAGGCGTCTCAGTGAGACTCAGCGTCAAAAACGTTTTCCACCAAGTAATGTCGCTTTTCCCCCCCCCATCCCCCCTTCAAAAATTGGTGGAGAACTACACTGGTGTGCAAAACTTAGGGACGAAAGCAACTTTCGATCACTGTGCCTCTGCCAGACAACATAGCTCGATGAATTCATATCATATCAAGAGAGAACCTTAACGATATTGTACAGAAAGCAACTGACAGAAACTCGGAATAAGACGATTGTTATGACATTTTTATTCAACCATGTCGATTACACATAAGTCTTCACGATTTATCCTGGTACTACAAAAGAAGTTACACGGATCCTAATAGGGTGTGTGATCACCACGACGCGACTCCAGCCATACCACGAGGTTTGGTAATGAGTTCCTGGAGGCAGGGCATTTCAACTCCATCCAATCAGTGGCAGTTGTACAAGTGCTGAGTCGTCATTGGTGCATTTGGTTGTGCTTCAATGGCGGTCTACCCAGTGCATCCCACACGTGCTCGATGGGATTTAGGTCGGGGGAACGGGCGGGCCACTCCATTCGCCGGATATCCTCTCGTTCTAGAAGCTCCTCCACCTGTGCTGTTCGATGCGGTCGCGCATTGTCATCCATGAAAATGAAGTCAGGGCCGATTGCAGCTCTGAAAAGACGGACATGATGTAGGAGAACCTCGTCGCAGTAACGCTGACTAGTGAGGGTTCCATGCTCAAAAATCTGGAGGTCAGTACGGCCATGCAACATGATGCCTCCCCATACCATAACACCTCGACCACCAGTACGATCACGTTCGACAGCTTCCGGGGAAATGGTGTGCCCTACTATTTCACCTCTGCCATATGAGGGTGGCGAAGCCGTCCAGAATCCACTGAACCTGCTCTCATCCGAAAAGAGCACACGGCTCCATTCCTCATCGGTCCATTCGCCATGCTCCTGGCACCACCGTAAACGGTCTCGCCGATGCGCGGGGGTCAAAGGAACACAACGTAACGGTCGTCGGGCGAAGAGACCACCACCATGCAGTCGTCTTGCCACTGTAGTGCGTGAGATGGCTTGCCCTAGAGTCCTGTTAAACGTCGTTGCAATAGCCGAAGCCGACTGACGAGGATCTCTTCTTGCCTGCTGCACAATGTAGCGGTCGTCCCTTGGTGTAGTTGTCCTTGGTCGGCCACCTCCTCGTCTTCGGGCAGCAGTACCAAAGGTTCGGAGCGCCTCTCCATGACGGAAACAAGCTGCCGTTGCGCGATACCGAACTCTTGGCTTCCGCATGTCGTTTTCGAACCTTCCTCGAGTTTTGCCCTATGATCCTTCTCGGAGTGCAAGTCATCGAGGATGCTCTCTTCGGGACATGATGTATCGAAGGATACTACCACAGTTCTTTGCAGCTACTCGTTGATTGAGAAAAAAAATTTTTTTCATACCCATAGACTGCCTCGATTTGCGCGGTCGGCCATATTTGGCACTTTATTCAAGCTCTTCTTCCACCGAGAAAAGTCTAGCTTCCTGTGCATATCCCTTAGGCGAGTGGCAACATGCTCCCACACTTTCATTTACTTCCACCCAGTCATTAGTGTTTTATGTTACTTTATCCATCTCGTCCCTAAGTTTTGCACACCAGTGTAGTGTGGCGGCAGCCCGCTGGCAACTCCCTGGAACGCCCTAGCATCCCCAACTACAGTACGTTATGTGAGAAGCTAGTTCACAAAACAGGAGACTTACATGATGGAACATTGTCATTATCGCGCCAAATCACGATAACAGACGAGATCAGCTGGGATGATACCAGTTGCCGGAGATCTTGTTGAGCTTGAACGACATTTGCTGCGCCGGCCCAAATCACCATTAACAACTGTGGTGCCGGCTCCATGTGAGGTAGAGCAATTGGCTAAAAGAGGGCTGTGCTGCAAACACCAATATTTTGTCCAAAAACTAAAAAAACTTCAAAAATATTATCTTGTAATAGAAAGAACATTTTTGAATTACCCTAAAATCCCATAGATAAGAGCGGTTTGATTTACCCGGTGAAAAATGAATTGGAATGAAATGGAAATTGAATGCAGTCACCTCCTCTAACTTGATGGATGGATAAAGAAAATTTAGAAGAAGCTCCGCCCCTCAACTCTAAACCCCGCCCACTTAATAAACAATTCATATAGAAAAATAGCGATTTTAACGGAATTTCTGTATTTCTTTTTCTCTTCTTCTTCTTTTTCTTTCTATTTCTTAATTTCTGTTGTAGGCTATTATTGCGATAATCATGAGCACACAACGCCAAAAAAACGTATACAAACGTCAATTTTCATTTTCTAGCACAAACCGCTCTTATCTATGGACCGCTCTTATCTATGGGATTTTAGGGTAAATTGAAAAATATTGAAAAAATATAATGTGTATAAATCTCGCGGGAACTATTAAATTGCTTCTTTGATCTCTAGTCTTTCGCAATAGAAACTTTTGTGCTCTTCATGTTCACTAACACGACCTGGGGCATCAACTGAAGGAGTCCTTATAAGAAGGCGTCAGTAAGCAGTGACGGGGTAAAAAACGCTACTACTCACAGACAAATTGTGGCATCCACCTTGAGGGATGATTCCCTTGTCGATGTGCGAGATAAACGGTCTCTCAGCGGGGCCTCTTCTCCTTGAAAGTGCTCGAGAACGGGGCTGTTGGGTAATGGTACAGGGGTGTCGCCTCCATACTCCGCCCGCGCTATCCTCAAGATGCAGCACTGGCGTCGCTACCAAGATCGCGCAGCGAAGCATGCACTCAGCCGCAGAGAGCAACCAGAAGCAAGAGAGCACAGACGAACAACATGTTCGGCTAAGGTTAAGCGTGCGGTGGCCGTGCGGTAGCACTGGCGGAGTCATGGGGTACCGCTACCCTCCAGCCTCGTTCCTGTGCATTTTGAGCGGAAAAAGTGACATGCTAGTGCAGTTGGAACAATTCACCTCACACATTCCAAGAACCAGAATTCACGGAGGTGAATGTGCAGTTTGTCCGCAGAAAGTTTACCAGAGTCGATTGAGCTCGTGAACGTCTTCAGCACTCCTCCAAACTCTCTTTTATTCCACAGTTCTCTCCATTTTCTATTACTCATAATGATTCCTATGTAGTAGAAAGTACGAGCAGCCATTACTAGTACAAGACCCTTACTCACGCTTGTTAGTCCATATTTCATGTTCAGTCAACAAAATGAGGTCATACCTTCAATGACTAGTCTTACTTCAAATTTGATAACACGAAAGTTTGTTCAGTTACTGGCTACAAAGTGTACATTTCTTATCGGTGACGAGACCAAACATCTATTATATGTTTCATTGAAATTGATAAAAAGTGAAGATTTTCGAATGAACGGTAGGCTACACAACGTACCCTTTCAGGAAACATATTCCATTGCTCATAAGAGCGCGCCTTGATGGGCAGCATTCGCGATTCCAGTACACGTATTACCATACTGACGATACCTTGCAGCGATGAGAACTCGTTTCGAATTTTTCGAATTTGATCTCGAATTCTTTCCACTCGGGAGTTGTCCAAAGAGTTGATGACATCATTAACGCGAGCCAAACTGGACGGACGCAAAGAGATTCTGAATTATAATTTCGATATACAAGTGTGAAAACTACAAATACATTTGCCACAAAAATGCACATTTGTTGTAATTATTCCCATTTCAGCTGACAGATAGGAAGACAAAAAGGACCAAAAGATGCTGAATGATATTTCATTGTAAATTCAAAATTGAAGTCCGGATTTTTTACGGCATGTAGCTCCCACAACAAACGAAATAGGACCGGAGTTACTGCACAAAATATTTCGACTGTTTCTACAGTTTCCTTAAGGTTCTTCCTTCTGCGCTGAGCTCCGCAGCATCGATGGGATGTACATCGTAACTCCCAAATAAAGGTGAGCGCGGTGAAAGAGACGCTGTCAGCACGTTCATTCACAAGACTTAGCGATTTCACATAGCAGCTGCGTGGGCCTGCCAGACCAAAGTAATGGGTACCGAAAGGTTAACACTTTGGCTAGCGCCCCCCGCCCGATGCCTAGAAGCGAGCTAGTTAACTCGACATAATGAATCACTTCCGCACTGGATTAACCGTTAACTCAGATAGGTCCTCGTAATTGTACACGTGACATCACTTGCAAATTCGATAAAGCGGAATAGAAAGATAGTAAGGACACAAGAATGTGAGTTGAGGGCAAAAGTCGTGCCCCAGGCGGGAATCGAACCTCACGCTTTCCGGGCGAGTGCGCTCTCCGTTACGCCACCCAGGGTCGCTTTTACCCTCTCCAAGTTCAACGTGTGAGTGCTGTCAGGCTACGGCATAAAAGCCGTTAAGCTGAGAGGGTAAAAGCGGCCCTGGTGGCGTAACGGATAGCGCACTCGCCCGGAAAGCGTGAGGTGCGGGTTCGACTCCCGCCTGGGGCACGACTTTTGCCCACAACTCAGCATTCTTGTGATAACATTCGGAACGCGTACTGCGGCGTTAAACAGCAGTTATCATAACAAAACAGCTTCAAAAATAGTAAGGACAAACTTTACAGTAATGATAATATGCGGTTGAAGGGCGAGGTGCTGAGCCAATTCCAAATTTTGCACTATTGCCGAGGGTACATCGTTTTAGGCCCAGTTACGAGAAATGCGTTCGAGTAGTTCGATTTCTGGCGGTGTACAACCTAAGGAGGAAGTATGTTTCCCCTTGCTTCTTTCTTTTGCTCTTCGCTGTTGAGGTACACGTTGCACACGCTTGTGAAGTGTAAACGAAACTTCCGCTACTGCACTCCTCTGTAAACTTAAGATGTCCACAGTCATAGCAGTGCTATCGGTGGAACACGATCGAGCGGGTGTCTCCAAGACGAACTAGGCCCAGATTTTTCTTATTTTTGAGCCCAACGACCTTGCCCAATGAAATTATTGAAGGAACATTTCATGCGATCCTATGGACGAAGAACCTCAACCACCAACTTCCTCATCCTGCGCCCAGCATCTACGGATTCTGGCGAAATGCTTAAAAGATGGGCTAAGATCAATTTCCATCCAGTCTCCTTGCCGATTCTTCAGATTCTGCAGAGAAGGTGAATCTTAAAATCGATACATATAGGTGCATTTTTTGTGTGGAAAGCAGCCTAATGGGGGTGGCGCTCCAGTTAGCAGGAACAAGGAGAGTTGTTTGGCGTGGAAAGACAGCTAGTTGGTCGAGAGGTCGGGAGGCAAAGGGTGCAGTTGAAGCCTTCACCGTCTCTCCATGAATGTCTTCCATTACTGGGCAACGATACAGAATTTTCGAAGGCATAGATACACTTACAAGTGCCAGTCGATGTAATCAGCAAACGGGAGCACATGATTAGGCGTGAATATCACGGGAATAACAGTTGCCTGTAAAGCTCTGTACAGGGCATACTTGAAGTGTGGCATTCGTTCGTGAATCAGGACAAACTTGGATTCCTGAAAATTTTCTATAGCACGGCCCATATGGATAGAGAAGGGACTGCAGTCTACCTCGAGCGCCTTTTCCCAATCTACGACTTTTCCGGCAGCATCACATACCACAGACGGGCGATTCACGCACTCAGTGAGGATAGTTGCACCCTACAACACTAATTCTAAAAAAAGGCACCCCGAACCAAATTTATCCCTATCTTGGGCCCTGAATGTAAAAAAGATATCGGAGGATGCAAGGGGAGAGCAGGGATGGTTACCGGGCTGCCCATCTCAGGTATCTGGTGAACACATAAATCTAGGTGATGACCTAGTGTTCAGAGCTGAACTCTTACAAGGGAGGTCTTTCAGGTCTTGGCGCGGTTTTTGGAAATGGTTTGTTGCTTGTTGTAGAGGTCCATCATGGAGGATCTTTTAAAAATGGTTTCAAGTTTGGCTTGGTTCTCGTTTCTGGGAAGGTCAAAAATTGAGTGAAAAATTTTGACAAGAATGAGCGATTTTAACTTTGAGTGAAAATTTTGACAAGAATGGGCGATTTTAACTATCTTAATAGGCTCAGTTCTGATTGTAACTCCGAGCATGCATAGTTTATGAGGTGTTCTTTAATTAGGCTTCGAAAATAATTTCAAATAAAGTCAAAATTTAAATATCATGTAGTAACACACTTCGCATGCACTGATGCACAAGGATGTTTTTGTCAGCGAAACGTTTTCAAACGCATAGCAAAAATGAAACCCATTTTTAAGGTCCTTGTATGGACCCCTACAACAAGCAACAAACCATTTCCAAAAAGCGCGCCACGACCTGAAAGACCTCCCTTGTTAGGGGACAGCCACGCTTCCAGAGCCCACTCAAAGCTGGGATGGGACTTTAGTCGTAAAAATGACAAAAGTCCCATCTTGAGATGCGAAATGATTGCGGACCCATTTCGGACCTCCGCAGGAACTCGTGAGCGAAGGTCTAAAGGAACATTAGTCTCACAGATGATGAGCGTCCCTTTCTGGACGGAGCCCACACTTCCCAACGAGGCCCCAAAACAACCCGCAGCCATTTCGCCATCATGGTCAACCCGAGTAATACTGCCCTTCGTGGAGGGGAACGTCACCCCTCTCTCTTTATGCTTGAATTATGTGTAAAAACTTCGCAATAGAATAGAAAAACTTTGCATTTGATAAACTCACCTTTGTGCGACCAAACACCTGGACGCCTTCTTCCCGTAAAGATGAGGAGGAGTTAAATAACATTACCAGTAAATTGTGGCGTGCTGATGGAGAAAGTGACTCAGATTTAGTGAGGTTACCAAAATATGGAGGTAGCGATATATCCAAACGATGTCGATACAGATGGATAGGTATAATGGGACTGTAATATATGGATTTCGCGAAGCCAAAAGTCTATAAGCCAAAAATTGGGGGTAGAAAGAGGCAAAACCAACCTGGCCATTATGTGACGATGACTGTGATTCCACTGCCCCATTATAGTCAAGATTAGAACATTGTGAAATCTATAAAATATTTCGAAATGTTGCGTAGATTTCGTCAGTGCATTATTGAAGGCTTTCCTAAAATCTATGAAACAGGGCAATAATTTGACGGACCTTTCATTGACCATATTCGCTACTGCATGCGCAGCATCGATGCTAGGAAAACGGTGAAGATTGAGGAAATCGACACCAGGGAAGAATACGCAGGCTTGCTGAGGATCAGAAACTGAATATGGCAGCAACATTTCACGGACTTCATAAAATTCCTTCGACGGAATAGGAGTAAGTACATTTCCACTCTATAAAACACTGAATTAAAAGGTGCATGGACAACATCCACTGAACTAAAAGGTGCATGGACAACATCGTCCTTTTGAATGAAACGACAAAAAGCGGCATGTGAGGCGCACGGTGGCCATGGACTATGAGATTGCGCTCATACGTCGCGATCCAGTCGCTCTGTTCGAGCCAGCGATTTATGACGCGAAGACGACGCCAACCATGAGCAGGCGCCTATCGCTCTAACGGTGCGACCGAATCCTTCGCGCGATCAGAGCCAAGAGAATCATCGGGTTAATTACCGCAAGTTTTTCCTGTTGATTCGAATAGCCAAAAATAGTTGCTATTTTAGTCGCAAAATCACGATTGCATAGTAACCGCGCGAGTTTAGATAGGACGGGTTCGTGCAAACACAATTAATAATGAACCAAGCGCGCTTAAAAAACCATGCTGCTCCGTACCCCTAACCGTCCCCGAATAGAATGAATAAAGCTATTGTTTTTGTAATGACCAAAATTTCAAAGATTAATGACAACGTACATCGTCTACGACCCTTATTATTGGCTGTATGTACACAGAAATCTTGCTGTAATCGAGCATACAACGATGAGAACGCAGACATGTCGACAGGGAGCAGTTCCGATACCTACAAAATACAATTAAATTACGATTCAAACCTTG